CTCTAGCACTTCATTCATAGTCTGCAACATGAATGGCACCTCCAGAAGTTGTGCAACACAGATGACCTGGCTCTTGCAGCACTCACTTTGGATGGTGATAAAGGATTACAGTGAGGAGAAGAATGGGTGGAATTAAATGGCCTCAAGGCTCTTTTTGGAATATGGGCACAAAGTTGTTTTGTTAGAACAAAGCAAGGCTGTCAGCCTGGATTCAAGCCACCACCTCTTGGCTGGTGAAGAACTAGATGTGGTAGACACTTCTGGTTGCCCACACAATTTTTGTTTCTCATTTTGTTCCTTATTAACAGAGGCTGATTTTATCAAGGTAGCAGTGTACCCTGTTAAAAATAATAATCTCAATAAGAAAAGTTCCCAAAGAATGATGGGAACACATGAATAGGACACAGAGCCAGCTTATAGGTGTTCCTAATGACCATTCTGGGACAATTCCATGTTAAAATAAATGATGATAGTAATGAATTGTAACCCATCAAATAGAATACAAATCTTTGCATCCATACGGAAATATATTAATAAATGGAGAAAGGAAAGCTTTCCATATGATACAAGGCAAACTAATAAGTATAAAAGGAAAGACAGAATTAGAAAATGACTATCTTATTGTTTCAGGCAAGAATTGTCAATGGATGCTAAAACTAGTGGGTGAAGGTTTGATGAGAAACATGATATGTATATAGTTTTAAAGCCTCTCCCCACAGATTCTTATAATTTCAAAGGGTAAAATAAGGAATTTATAGTATGAAAATCTGATAGGTACCTACCTTACCACCTTAACCAAGTGATCAAAGCTAATATCATTAGTAATAGAACAAGTCAAAGTAGGGTACCCTCTGCTATGATGCATTGGGAAGGATACAGGATCACTTCTGTGGTATTCTAGCCAAAAATACCTAACCTGAATCATGAAGAACTGTCAGACAAATCCAAATAAGGGATGTTCTGCAAAGTAACTGGTCTTTGGTTTTCAAAAATACCAACAACATGAAAGGTAAAGACAGATTGAGGAGCTGTTTCATATTAAAGTAGACTAAATCAACATGACAGCAAAATGTGATGTGTGGTCCTGAATAGGTTCCTGGACCAGAAAAAAAGCTTTTTCTTTGCTATAAAGGACATTAGTGGGATCATTGGCAAAAGGCTGTGGATTAAATAATAGCATTGTATCAATGTTAATATTTCTGATTTTGATCATTGCACTGTGGTTATGTAAGAGAAAGTCTTTATTTTTAGGAAGCATACCCCAAACTAGAAGTAAATGAGCATCATGGATGCATGAGAGAGAGAGAGAGAAAAAAGGATAAAGTAATTTTGGTAAATGTTAGTATTGGGAAAATTGGGTGAAAAATATACAGGAATCATTTGTACTATTTTTACAAATTTTATCTGTTTGAAATTATTTCAGAGCAAAAAGTTTTTAAAAAATACTTATTTCCCGGCTGGGCGCGGTGGCTCAAGCCTGTAATCCCAGCACTTTGGGAGGCCGAGGCGGGTGGATCACGAAGTCGAGAGATCGAGACCACCCTGGTCAACATGGTGAAACCCCGTCTCTACTAAAAATACAAAAAAAAAAAAAAAAAAAATTAGCTGGGCATGGTGGCGCGTGCCTATAATCCCAGCTACTTAGGGGGCTGAGGCCGGAGAATTGCCTGAACCCAGGAGGCGGAGGTTGCGGTGAGCCGAGATTGTGCCATTGCACTCCAGCCTGGGTAACAAGAGCGAAACTCCGTCTCAAAAAAAAAAAAAAAAAAAAAAAAAAAGGGGCCTGGCGCGGTGGCTCACGCCTATGATCCCAGCACTTTGGGAGGCCTAGGCGGGTGGATCACGAGGTCAAGAGATCGAGACCATCTTGGTCAGCAAGGTGAAACCCCGTCTCTACTAAAAATACAAAAATTAGCCGGGCGTGGTGGTGCACGCCTGTAGTCCCAGCTACTCGGGAGGCTGAGGCAGGAGAATTGCTTGAACCCAGGAGGCGGAGGTTGCGGTGAGCCGAGATTGTGCCATTGCACTCCAGCCTGGGTAACAACAGTGAAACTCCGTCTAAAAAAAAAAAATACTGGCCGGGCGCGGTGGCTCAAGCCTGTAATCCCAGCACTTTGGGAGGCCGAGGCGGGTGGATCACGAGGTCAAGAGTTCGAGACCATCCTGGTCAACATGGTGAAACCCCGTCTCTACTGAAAATACAAAAATTAACTGGGCATGGTGGCGCGTGCCTGTAATCCCAGCTACTCAGGAGGCTGAGGCAGGAGAATTGCCTGAACCCAGGAGGCGGAGGTTGCGGTGAGCCGAGATCGCGCCATTGCACTCCAGCCTGGGTAACAAGAGCGAAACTCCGTCTCAAAAAAAAAAAAAAAAAAAATAATACTTATTTCCCTCCAGGTACTCATGCAGTAAGATATTCATATACCTTAGCCTAGCCAATGGGTTGTAGTTTTTAATCTAATGGATGGGGATTCTCAGGAAATGATTATTTTTTTCTTAAAAAGGGAGAGACGGCCAGTCGAGGTGGCTCATGCCTGTAATCCCAGCACTTTGGGAGGCCAAGGCAGGGGCATCACCTGAGATTGAGAGTTTGAGACCAGCCTGACCAACATGGAGAAACCTCGTCTCTGCTAAAAATACAAAATTAGCCAGGCATGGTGGCACATGCCTGTAGTCCCAGCTACTTGGGAGGCTGAGGCAGGAGAATTGCTTAAACCTGGGAGGCAGAGATCGGGTCACTGCACTCCAGCCTAGGCAATAAGAGCGAAATTCTGTCTCAAAAAATAAAAAGGGAGAGACTTGGCTAATGCCTTTTGCCCGTTGTCCTTCCCCTTCCTGCTTAGAAGAAGAGCTTAGTACCTGGATGTGGAGCAACCATCTGTGATTATGAGGACAGAAGGAGCAGAAAGTAGCACGGGTCTTGGTGGCTTCTTTGGACATCAGCCCTGGACTGCCTGCCTCTGGATAAGAAATCTGTTAGTCCGTTGTAGTCAAATCCAACTCCAACTGAGCTAGACCATCTAAGTCTCCCAATGGTGTTTACAGTTTTGAGTTTGTGTGGCTTGACTCCTCAATCTTCTTCACAGACAGATACTTCTGGCTGCCCTTCACATGTGGATGATCTGCAAGTTTGGGTCCTTGGGCTTCTCCTCCCTCTATGGTCTAGATGGGCTGCCTTATCCACTCCCAATTACCATTTAGATTCTGTGATTCTAAATAACCATCTTCACCTAGAATTTTCTCCTGATTTGCAGGCTACATATCCAGTTAACTACTAGATATCTATGCCTATGGTCCATATTCACTTCAACAATTACAAAGCTAAATTGCCTTTTCATCTACACACACACACTATCACACACACATCCAGCCCACAACCTAACCACTTTCCCAAGCCAGAAATGCAGGAGTCATCATCCTCTCTTCTTCCTACTTTCTTACCCCCTACATGCAATTAGTCATCTAAATCTTGATGACTCTACCTCCTAAGTAGTTTCTGAACCCATCTCCTCTTCTCCGTTCCCATCAGGTAGATGCCTCATCATCTGTCACTGTTATTTTTTCTTAACCTTTTAAACGGTTTCCCTGGCTCTGTCCTTTGTTCCCCTAACACAAACTGCTATACATTATTTTCTAAAATGCAAATATGACCACCATACTCTCCTATGTAAAAATTTCCTACCATTTCAACTGCTAATGGTAGTAGCCCCCCTCACAACACTCCAATTCCTACTGTAGCATAACAATGCTCATAGGATAACCTCTTGGCTGCCCTTCTGTGCCATGTCTCAATGAGGGAAGGACTGTTGACTGCCCCTGGCTGGTTTATTGTATTCTTAGGAGGTAAATTCTCCCAAGTCTCCATAAGCCAGTGATCTTCCTTTGACCCCAAACTTCTCTTACCTATAGCAAGTTTTACCTCACTTGATTCCATGTCAAAAGACCTGCAGTGTTCTTTTACTTGTCACAAAAATAAATGTTATACATTGATCAAAATGAAGTGTTCGAGCCACTGTGTGGGATAAGTGAGGGTTGAACACTGCCTGAATTCAACAAACACCATTCATATAGGTGACATTTTAATTGGGTTGTGGTAGCCCAGGTAGGCAAGCTCCAGGGATGTTTATAACACAACCTGGCCCCACATTGTAAGTCTCCTGTCTTGGCTACTTTTCAGTTAAGCAATCCTGGGCTCCTGGGACTGATTCTTCCATTTCCTGAGGCAAGCTGCTGGGGTTTGTGTGGAATGTGTGATTAAGAATATTCAATCATGGAGCAGGAAATAAGGGTACCCAGCCTTGAGGTACCAGCCATTCACTTTTCCCTTAATAACTTTCCCCCTTCTGTTCTAGCAATGTACTTAAAAAAAAAAAAGAAAAAAAAAAAAAAGGTAAAATGGAACCTACTAAAGGAAGAGTAGGACATTCCTCCTATAAGCAGAGTTAGACAGCCTCCTAGAGCTTCTATGGTATTTATTACACTATAATACAATTATGTGTTGGGCCGGGCGCGGTGGCTCACACCTATAATCCCAGCACTTTGGGAGGCCGAGGCGGGTGGATCACGAGGTCAAGAGATCGAGACCATCCTGGTCAACATGGTGAAACCCCGTCTCTACTAAAAATACAAAAATTAGCTGGGCGTGGTGGCGCGTGCCTGTAGTCCCAGCTACTTGGGAGGCCGAGGCAGGAGAATTGCTTGAACCCAGGAGGTGGAGGTTGCGGTGAGCTGAGATGGTGCCATTGCACTCCAGCCTGGGTAACAAGAGCGAAACTCCGTCTCAAAAAAAAAAAAAAAAAAAAAAATACAATTATGTGTTTACATGTCCATTTCCCTGCATTTGGTTTCTTTTAATACCATCCAAATGCAAATCCTGCATTTTTTTTGGGTATGTCCCTCTAGCAGCATATAATAGAGCCTGACACAGACAGTAATCAATAAGTATCTATTAATTTATTAAATAAATGGATTTATTTTCTTTCTTTCTTTTTTTTTTTTAGGTTCCAAGTAGAGTGTAATGGAAAGAGTCTGGACCCTGGTGCTATTCCCAGTTCCTCTGCTAACTTGCTATGTGACCATAGTCTCTCGGTAGATCCTTCATCTCATCAGTGAAGTGGAGTCAGTACTACCACCCACTTTGGAAGAATTGTTTTGAAGATTAAAAGAGTTACTGATCATTTATCCATTCAATTGTAGGGATATACTGAATGCTTCTTACAAGCCAGGCACTGTGGTAGGTACTAAGGCTATAAAATTGCCTTTTTCTCATAAAGCTTTTCAATCTAGCAGGAAAGACAAGTAATTAAACAATCATCTATAATAACATGTAGTGAAAATTGGAATAGGGGAAGAACAAAGTGCTATGGGAACATAGAACAGAGGGCCCAACTTAATCAAGGGGTTAGGAAGGACCTCCCCAAATGGCAGGAAAGAATTGTAAAGTACTATACTCATGTCAGGTAGGATGTTATTACAATAGACGAAACTGCCCTTGAGTTCATAGGAGGAAGCCATCATACTGTGGAGAGTGAGGCTTCCTAGAAAAATGGAATGCTGAGCTGCCCCCAACTTCCTTTGATGTTGCTGACCGATCTTCATCAGGAAGATGTGCCCTTCAAACAGTGTTTCCAGGATCAGAGATGGATCTGTCTTCATCTGTCCATACCCCAACTCACCTTGTTGCTATAAGAAACTGAGCGCTCCAGTCCAAGAATACAAACCACAGAGCAGGAAATGCTGAAGGGAAATCTAAAAGGTCAGTGATGTTTCTAGGCAAGGCAGCCATGGAAATCTGACTTCTGCTTTTAGATGCATCTGGAATCCAACCACTTCTCACTACCTCCTTTGTAACCTCCTGTCTAGACCACTCTCATTGGTCACTAGATTGCAGTGACCTTCAAATTGGTTTTCCTGTTTCCACCCATGCCCTCTTAGAATTTCTCCACCCACATTCCAGCTCCAAATTTCTGTGTTCCCACTTTGGGCACATTGAGGTGAAGAAGACCAGTGATTTGCCAAGGAAAGAAGGGCTTATCTGAGACTGCCAGGAAGGAAGTGTATGCTCCCTTAGAGGATGAGAAAACAGGTCAGGGTCACCCATCTACTCCTCGGTGTCAACCTATAGTAGGTAAATGAACAACAGCAAATAACTCTTCCTCTGTTGTTTTTGTATTAAAGGATATTCAGATAAATCGCTGCTCATTCACCCTTTTCCAGTCTCCCCTCCTCCACATTTCCCAGACATTCCCTAAGTTGTGTCCTGGCACAAACATCCCATCTCTCTGCCCCCTCATCTCTTTCCCAGCCTTTTCCTGACTCACCCTTCACAGTGTCTTCCAGCAGTGCACAAACATCCTCTTGTCTATCAAAGTCAACTTCCAAACAGTTACTGTGGTGTGCCAGACCAGAGGAAGGAGCAGGGGAGCCAGCACCCTCTTTAGTCAGCCCCTAAGTATGCTGAATGGACGCTCAGCATGGGTCTGCAGGGAGGATTGTTAACCTGACCCAGGCTTCAGGCAGGGCTGCATCCTGCAAGGATGATCCGTTTCAGGTTGTGGCATTTTTCAAATGACAGCAAGGCAAGGGACAGAGACACCATCCTTTCCAAACCTTCATTTTTTTCTTCTCCCAATTTTTATTTTGAAAATATTTCAAACCTACAGTTTAGCTGAAAGAAAAAGCTCATGAAATGTATATGTTATTCACCTAGATTCAGCAGTTGTGAACATTTGCTTTCTGTCTCTCTTTTTTTCTCTCTTCCTCTTTCAAGATAGTTGTCTGCCTGTCTGTGTATGCATGTATTCATCCATTTCTATAAACACACACACAATGTGATGAACCCTTTGAAAGTAAATTGCAGAGAACTTGACATGTCATCTTAAACACTCTAACATATGTATCCTAAGAATAAGGCCATCATTTTTCCTATGTACCACAACATGATTATCACACTCAAAAGATTTAACATTAGTACAATAATACTACTACCTAAAATACAATCCAGACTTTTCTAGTTGTCCTGAAAATGTCTTTGAACACTCCCCCTGCCATTCTCAAATCCAATTAAGGATCAAAAATATCTTCTTTTAACCTAGAAACTTCCAGGGCAATACCACATTTGTGAGAGGCAATATGGTTCCCAGAAACAGGGCTTTATAGCTATATATAACTGGGTTCAAATGTCAGGTTTTTCCCAGCTCTGTGACCATGAACAAATTACTTCACTTTCTCACCTCAGCGTCCTCATATAATGGGAATGCTGTTACCCAGTCTAAAGATTTTGTAATGATGAAGAATAATGTAGTTTTCGTGCTTGTCAAGTAGTGGGCACTCAGGGCAAGCCGCTTCTCTGGAAAGAGAAGCAGAGAAAGGAACTCAGTTGGGTTATATAAATGGCTAAAAACTTGTGTTGCAGTAGCTAAACAAAACTATTTCCCCTGCTCAACATAAGCCTGTGGCAAATGCCTGTTGCATATTGGAATACAAACTTTGTGGGGCAGGGATTTCCTCTGTTTCATTCAATGTTTTATTCCCAGTATTTGAAACATAGCTCATTAGATAACTTTTGAATGAATGAATGAACAAGTGAATAAGTACATCTTACCAGGCAAGTTACCACTTTTATGTAACTCAAAAGTACTACTCTTCACTCCCTTTTCTACAGTTGACTTCCTCTGACATAAGGTGGTGTATCTGCCCATTACTGCCACAGTTATTCTAACAAATTATTCTGAAGTTCAGTTACTTAAAACAACAATTCTTTATTTTTATGCTCACAGGTCTACAGGTTGGGCTACAACTTGGACTGAGCTAGGCTAGCTCTTGGCTTTGGGCTCCAAGCTCCAGGTTGGATTTAGCTATGTTTCTTTCTTTCTTTCTTTTTTTTTTTTGAGACGGAGTTTCGCTCTTGTTACCCAGGCTGGAGTGCAATGGCGTGATCTCGGCTCACTGCAACCTCCGCCTCCCGGGTTCAGACAATTCTCCTGCCTCAGTCTCCTGAGTAGCTAGGATTACAGGCACGTGCCACCATGCCCAGCTAATTTTTTGTATTTTTAGTAGAGACGGGGTTTCACCATGTTGACCAGGATGGTCTCGATCTCTTGACCTCGTGATCCACCCGCCTCGGCCTCCCAAAGTGCTGGGATTACAGGCTTGAGCCACCGCGCCCGGCCTAGCTATGTTTCTTATGTCCCTCACCCTCCTTGGTCCAGTGTCATGTAATCTCTTCCCTGTATCTCATTCTGGGGCCCAAGGTGAAGGGCGCAGGTGTGTGGGTATGGACATGGTCTCTCTAAGCTGAGTTGACTTTTAGGTTTACCTCATCACACAGCTGCAGCATGAATAGTCATTGTCCTAACAGTTTCAATGGGCGATTTTTTAACTTGCTAGACACAGACATATGCATACACTTCATATTCCCTTCCCAAAGACAAACACGATTTCTTAGAGGCATTATAAGCTATTGGATAAGAAGGGAGTGATGCACCTCTTAATGGATATTCTCTTACTTCCTGAACTTTCTGGAAGGGACTTGACTAAATTCTTGGCCAAGGGCTCTTGTTCTCAGTTTTCATGAAGATAAGAGCAGGGAGTGATTAAACCTGTGTAAAAAATCATGGTTGGATGAAGAAAATACATTGTGACTGCAACACACCTTTACAGTTCTTCTTCAGCCCTCCATCCGCATCCTGGCTTCCTCGTGCCAACACTGCTGTGTCTTAATGCAGATGACTTTGCAGCTGAGACCATCAGACAGGAAACACTGCAACCTATCTGTGCATGCCCCATCTGCCATCTTGTCCATATCCCCATCTACCTTTGCTTTCTTCCATTTTCCTGTCCTATGCTAGCCCTGACATCTCTGCTGAAATACCATTCCAGATTTTCAAGATAGCAAATAACTCCCATTCTCTCTTCTATCTTTACTCTCTTTCTCACCAATTACTTATTTCTTTGGCTATTTAAGCCTCTTCCCTCTGAAAAGAAAAACAAAACAAAACAAACCTTAAAAAAACTAGCCAGGCATGGTAGCTCATGCCTGTAAGCTCAGCTACTAGGGAGGCTGAGGTGGGAGGATTGCTTGAGCCCAAGAGTTTGAGGCTGCAGTTAGCCATGATTGCTCCAGCCTGGAGTGACAGAGTGAGACCCCCCCCTCTCAAAAAAATAAATAAAAATTTAAAATCCCATACTTGATCTTGTCTGTCCCTCTGGATTAGGCCATACAGAGTTGTCAATGGGAATCTAACTAAAAAAGTAAGAGGACTCCTGTGGGAAATAGCAGTACTTGGGAAATAAAGCTAGTTGAGGAAGAAGATGTCAGATAATGAGACAAATCTATTATTGTTTGATGGTGAAGGAAACAACCAACAAAGAATTAGATCTAATACATGGATTCAGGAAGGTTGCTGGTCAATGAATAAAAATTAATAGCTTTTTTCTATATAAGCAATAACCACCTTATAATGTATTTAAGATATGAGAGGCTGGGTGCGATGGCTCAGGCCTGTAATCCCAGCACTTTGGGAGGCCGAAGTGGGAGGACCCCTTGAGCCCAGGAGTTCAAGACTAGCCTGGGCAACATGATGAGATCCTGTCTCTATAAGAAAAAGAAAAAGAGAGAGAGGAAAGAAAGAAATGAAAGGAAGAAAGGAAAGAAAGAAGGAAGAAAGAAAAAAGAGAAGAAAGAGGCAGAGGGAGAAAGAGAGAAAGTAAAAAAGAAAGTAAAATTATTTTAAAAAAATACAAGAATATTCAAAATAGTCATCAAAACCCATAGAGTATGTAGGAATTAGCCTAACCAAAGTGTTGTGAGATGAATTATGGTCCTGGTCCTCCAAATTTCACATGTTGAAGTCCTAACCCCAATATCTCAGAATGTGACTATATTTGGAGGTAGAGTTTTTACAGAGGCAATTAAGTTAATGTGAGGTCATTAGGGTGAGCCCTACTCCAATATGACTGGTATCCTTATAAGAAGAAATGGCTAGGTACACAGTCAAACACACAGAGAAGACCATGTGAAGACTCAGGGAGGAGACAGTCATTTACACCAAGGAGAGGGGCCTCAGAAGAAACCAACCTTGCCAGCACCTTGACCTTGAACTTTCAGCCTCCAGAACTGTAAGAAAATACATTTCTACTGTTTAAGCCACCCAGCCTGTGGTATTTTGGTATGGCAGTCC